TGGAAACTTGTACCAGGTCAGCTGGTTGCTCGTCAGGTTTTCCGTGCCCTCTGTTTATATCTTCCTTTTCCTGCTTAGTTTCAGGACTTTCGTGGTTAATGTTATATCAAAGCTCCAACCTGTGTCCGTTGTGCTGGGGAGATCCACACAGGAGGTGGAACTAACACTTAGAAGTTACTATGTGCCAGTCGTGTTACCCCATCTGGTCTTTCCAATAGCTATCTAAACAGGCATTATTATACCCACTTTACAAATGAGAAAACTGAGCTTCAGAGAGCTAAAGTAGTGACTGATGGCCACCTAGCCAGGTAGTGATGGAACAAGATTCAGACGTAGGTCCAGCGTTGCTGGACCGTTGCAGGCAGGTGCCGGGATGGAGGCAGGAAATGCTGGAATCATGGAGACAAACAATGGCAACATGAACAACAATGATGCTAACAATTACCAGTTACAGTACCATTTAGAGCCTCCTGCTTCTGCCAGGCAGTAGCCAGGCATTTTATAGGTTTGGTTTCAAAGTGGCTTGAGGTATAGGAACACTTTGGTTGCAACATCACCGGATACCGAGAGCTTGCTGTGCATCAGGCCTGTGACCAAGAGCTTTAGTGCTGGCTCCTCTGAACAACTTAAGGAAGTAAGTACTATCATGAGCTCCATTTGACAGATGAAGTGAAGCATCTAGTTGAAGGCCACAGGAACAAGAAATGGGAGCTGGGTGTTACCCCCAGCTTGCTTGCTCCAAACACCGTGTGACAGCCGGAAAGGCGTCTTCTAGACCCGACACTCACTCATAAGAAAACCAGGACCAGGGAGGATGAGGTGTATTGTCCAAGGACAGCAACAGATGGCAAAGCCAAGACTAGAACCTGATCGTTCAAAGCTGCATTCGCCATCCTGGGATCCTACCTACTGCCAGTTCAGCTGACCTAGAGTTTACGGGATCTTTGTGGTTTTTTTTGAGACAGAGTCTCGCTGTGTCACCCAGGCTGGAGTGCGGTGGTGTGATCTCAGCTCACTGCAGTCTCCATCTCCAGGGTTCAAGCCATTCTCCTGCCTCAGCCTCCTGAGTACCTGGGATTACAGGTGCGCGCCACCATGCCTGGCTAACTTTTGTATTTTTAGTAGAGACGGGGTTTCACCATGTTGGTCAGGCTGGTCTCGAACTCCTGACCTTGTGATCTACCCACCTCGGCCTCCCAAAGTGTTGGGATTACAGGCATGAGCCAACACACCCAGCCAGTTATTTGTTTTGCTTTAAGGAGAGACCTGGGCATTTTAGAGGAAGGGTTTGGCTAGGAGACCTGTTAGTTAATTGACTGGCTCCTAAGAGCTCAGCCCTGAGGCAGACATGAAAGGCACGGAAGAGGTGGCTCTTGCCCTCAATTTATCTACAAAGTCCCCTGTTGAAGGTTCTGAGGGGATAAAATTAGAATTCCGTGTTCTCTGCTGAAGGCCAGTGCATGTGGCTATTGTGATGTCCTGGCTGCTTCAGAATAGATTGCAAGGTGGGCAGAGGGGCTGATTTAAGAGGCTTTCAAAAACCCCACAGCTCCAAAGTACCTCCCAAAGTCTGACTCCAAAATGCCTGACTTTCCATCACTGGAGAGTCCCTCATTGGTGTCCCTGGGCCCCCATCACACCAGCTGCACCAAATCCCATCTAGTGTGAAGGTGATCAACGGACTCTACCGACGAGCAGCCTGAGAGCCCATAATTTCTAGAGTGAGGATGAAGGGGTCAGTGCAGGCTGGAGCACAGAGAGGACCAGCTTCCCCTCTTGACAGTCTCTCCACGAGCAGGCGATGGCAGACAGGCTCATGCATCCTTTATCCCAGGACAGAGAAACTCAGTGTCCCCAAAAAGGGAATGCCAGTGCTGGCTGAAATGACAGGTTTAAGTTGGAGAGGGCTCATGCTTCTGCCTGAGCCGGGACGCTAGCCCTCTCAGAAGTAGCCTCTCCACATTCGTGTAGGGGGTTCCTGAGGCCGGAGGCCAAGTCCTGGCTCTGGCTCTTGTTTTCCACATGACCCTGACACCTCACCTTCCCAGCCTCCATTTCCCCATCTATAAAATTAGAATCCTCCCAGACTGTCATGTGAATTATATGAAGTAAGTTAGAGCTTGTTGAACCTTAAGAAGGACTCATGAGCCATCTCATCCATCCATCCATCCATCCATCCATTCATCCATCCATCCATCCATCCTCCATCTATCCATCCAGCCATTCATACTTCTCTCCCTCCCTCCATCCATCCACCAACTCCTCATCCATCCATCCATCCATCCATCCATCCATCCATCCATCCCTCCATCCATCTACTCCTCCATCCGTCCATCCCACTATCCCTCCCTCCATCTGTCCATCCATCCCTCCATCCATCCACCCAGTGCTTATTTACGAGCACCTACTGTGTGCCAGGAACACTGTGGCTGCCAGGAGAGCAGTGAACGAGAGAGAGGCTCCCCTGCCCTCCAGAGTTTGTATTCTAGTAGGGGGAGACCGACAAAAATAAGTGCATATATAAGATCATTTCAGAGAGTGCCAAGGACTATGAAGTAAATAAAAAAGGACTAATGAGATGGGGTGGTGATATTTGAGCTGGGACATGCGTCACTCTATACCTAGGTCAAAGTAGGTCAGAAACTACTGGGATGAAGAAGGAAGCCTAAAAGCATTTCTAGCTTGAATCATGTCTGCTGTGTGACCACGGTCAAGCTGCTTAACTTTCGAGCCTCAGTTTGTTTCCCCATCTGTAAAATACAGGCAAAGGTGTGTCTCTCATGGAGTAGTCGTGAGGATTCAGTGAGATAATATATGCAAAATGCTTCCCACATTGGCATTCAATAAATGTTAGTTACTAGCTATAATTAATAAAAGTACTACTAATAAAAGACATCTCAAAATAACCACCTGCCCCACCGAGGTCCTGGAAGATCACAGACTCCTGGCTGAGAAAGTAATCACTTTCACACCTGCCCTGTGGGAGGGACTCTGTACAAGTGTTTGTTGTTTTTGTATTTATTTGATACTCCATCCTTGGCACTGCTGTTACCACTCGGCCAGGGAGCCTGGGAGTTTCAAGACCAGCTGGTGGACCCTCACTCTCGGTCCCGCCCTGCATCCCCCATATCCAGGTCACCCACCTTTCCTATCCTAGGACACCCTAGGGACAGGAGAGCATGGTGTCTATTTCCTAAGTCAAACCTCAGAAAAGTGAGGCACCCAGGTATGTTATATGTCCCTTCATCTGGCCGGGGCAGTGCCAGGTTATTTATTTATTTATTTATTTATTCATTTATTTTTTGAGACAGAGTCTCGCTCTGTCACCAGGTTGGAGTGCAGTGGCGCAATCTCGGCTCACTGCAACCTCCACCTCCTGGGTTCAAGCGATTCTCCTGCCTCAGCCTCCCAAGTAGCTGGGACTACAGGCACGCACCACCACGTCCCGCTAATTTTTGTATTTTCAGTAGAGACGGGGTTTCACCATGTTGGCCAGGATGGTCTCAATCTCTTGCCCTCGTGATCCACCTGCCTCGGCCTCCCAAAGTGTTGGGATTACAGGGGTGAGCCACCGTGCCTAGCCCAGTGCCAGGTTATTTCTACAATACAGCATGTGTTGGTTTGGTTTTTTTTGTGTGTGTGTTTTCACTTTTTTTATTTTGAAATATTGTGGGTATACAGAATAATTGCAATGATAGTACAGAGAGCCCTGTACACCCTTCACCCAGCTCCCCCGATGTTAATATTTTACATAACCACAGTACAGTGATGAAAACTAAGAAACTGCATAGGTGGGGTTTTACATTTGTATTCCATACAAAGTCCAGGGAGGACGCAGCTCACCTCAAATGAGTCCCAGATACTTTTTGTGGCCTTTCTGAAGCCATTTCATGACCAGCTTTTTATTTGTCTTTCCCAAGGAATTATTACTGTCCCCTCTCTTCACTCCACTGACAGATGAGGAAACCAAAGAGATATATTTTCCAGCAAATAGGGCCAGACTAGGCCTAGAAGCCCTAACTTTCAATCCCCAGCCTGTGCTCTCCCCACATCACAACACTGCATTTTATTTTTTCTTTCTTTCTTTTTCTGTTGTTGTTTTGTTTCATTTTGTTTTGACACGGAGTCTCATTCTGTTGCCCATGGTGAAGTGCAGTGGCACAATCTCAGCTTACTGCAACCTCTGTCTTCTGGGTTCAAGCAATTCTCCTGCCTCAGCCTTTGGAGTAGCTGGGATTACAGACACCCACCACCACGCCCAGCTAATTTTTGCATTTTTGGTAGATACAGGATTTTACCATGTTGGCCAGGCTGTTCTCAAACTCCTGACCTCAAGTGATTCACCTGCCTCAGCCTCTCAAAGTGCTAGGATTACAGGCATGAGCCACTGTGCCCGCCCAAGACAACACCGCATTTTCTAGGATGATGGGAACTTGCCTGAGACCCCACACTCTCCACCAGGCTGTGACATGGCATCTCAGAGACATGTAGTGGCACGTGGCAGCAAACTCCTTGTCCTCTCTCATCTGCTGGGGAGAAAAACAGCAGAGAAGTCCAGAAATATTACTCAACCCTGAGCCTCAGTTTCTTCATCTGTAGAACAGGAACAATGACAAAATGCACCAGATAGGATTATTGTCAGAGTCAAATGAGATATTGCATATAAAGTGTTTCGAATAGTGCCTGGCATATGATAAGCATTCAGAAAACTATTATTATTAATGCTATTGTTATTATTGTAGTTATTATTATTGATTTTGCGTGTGGCATGACATGGTGAAGCAAAAGATGTGGTAGACCCATCATGTTCCACCTCACTTCACTCATCTGCCCACTCATTCATTTATTCATTCATTCATGTTCACACTCACACTCTGGGGCTCCTGCAGCAGAAGCAAGAACCCAGAGAAAGCACCACCCAGGGCCCTGCAGTCAGGTATGGACAGTCTCTCTTGCATTCCAGCCTCTGACTCACTTTCCTTTGTCATTTTCTTCTGCAGAATTCTCCACTCTGGTGGCTGAAAGCTAAGAAGCACTGACTGCCCCAGGTCTTCCACCTCTCTGCCCTGAACACTCAATCTCAGCCCCTCTTGCCACCCTCCTGCGTTTCTGTTCAGTTTGTTTATGTTATTTTTTACTCCCCCCATCCCCTGTGGCCCTCTAATGACACCATTCTTCTGGAAAATGCTGGAGAAGCAATAAAGGTTGTACCAGTCAGACTCTGCTTGCTGAGGAAGACCCAGGCCTAGTCAGGCATTGACTTTCCAGATGCATCTGGGCAGGGGGTGGGGGCCAGATTTCCACAGTTAGAAAAGATGTGATAGGAGAGAATGGAAGGGAACAGCCTCTTTTCTGCGCTAGGTACTAAGCACGGCACTCTACAGAGGTTACCCACTTACTCCCTAACACCACCCCATAAGGTCGGTGATGAAACTCCCATTCTCTAAAAAACTAAGTCTCAGAGAGGGGAAGTGATGTGTCTAAGCCCACAAAGATAGGATTTGTTAGTATTGGGGTTTGAATGCAGGTCCATGGTTGAGTAGGTGGATGGATGGATGGATGGATGGATGGATGGATGGATGGATGGATAGATGGATGGAAGGATGGGTAGATGGGTGGGCAGATGGGTAAATGGATGGATGGGTGGGTGAATGGATGGATGGATGAATGGGTGGATGGGTGGATGGGTGTGTGGATGGATGGGTGGATGGGTGGGTGGATGGATGGATGGATGAATGGATGGATGGATGAATGGGTGGATGGATGGATGGATGGATAAATAGATAGATGGATGGATGGATGGGTAGATGGGTGGGCAGATGGGTAAATGGATGGATGGGTGGGTGAATGGATGGATGGATGAATGGGTGGATGGGTGGGGGGATGAATGGATGGATGGATGGATGGATGGATGGATGGATGGATGGATGGATGGACAGGTGGATGAATGGATGAGTGGGTGGATGGATGGATAGACACATAGATCGATGGATACCATTAAGACTTTTTGTTACAAATCACAGAACCCCAACTCAAGTAACTTAAGCTAAAAAGGAAGGAAACAAAGGACTAGATTGGCTTATGTGCCTGAATAGTTAGGGGTAGGTCTTCAGGAACAGCTGGATCAAGGGATTCAAGTGATATCATCAGGACTAAGTCCCTCTTTTCCTCTCTCTGAGCACTGCTTTCCTTTGTGCTGAATTTGTTATCAGGAGGGCTCTACCTTCATGATGGCAAGATTCCCGCAGCAGCTCAAGGTGAACATTCAGCATTACCAGCAAAAAAAAAGAATTTCTTGATCCCAAACACTCCATCAGAAGGCCCCAAATTTAGTCCCATTAATACTAGCAACTAACGTTTACTGAGCACTTACTCTGTGCTGAGTCCTTTACAGGATTTCATCTTCACAACAGCCCTATGAAATGCGTGCTATTTATTACATCCCTTGTATAGATGAGGAAACTAAGGCACGTAGAATTTAAAAGTCACACAGCAACCACGGGGAGGATCAAGGACCCCAACCCCAGCATCACCTCCAGAGCCTGTATCCCTTCCTGAGTCAGACACAGAGGCCGGGAGGAGGGATCCTGATTGGAGACAGGTGGAGTCAGTCACACACAAGGCTCGTGGCCTGAGGGTGGGAGAGGGGCACCCCTGAGGAAATGAAAAGTGGGGACAGATGCTGGGGGTGAACATGGCCTACAGAATGACTTCTGCTGTTCCCCAAGACAGCCTTGGGGAAGTTATCTTAGATTTCCCTGGGTGGGGACGGGGCATTGGAGTGGTAGTCTCTCTCTCACCAGACCCCATGCCCTGCACCTCCCCTGCTCTCTGAGGTGTCGCCCTTAGGCAGGGCTGTCAGGAAGCCTCTCCCTGAGGGCCCAGCCCGGGGCAGACAACCCATCAGGACCCAGGCTGAGGGGCAGGGATGGGCAGGCCCCATCCAGGGTGGTAGCCAGGCTCAGAGCAAGCAGTCCTAGGCCTGGGAGGGGACTCAAGGCCAACACTGGGAACTGGGTCAACACAGCAGCTGCCAGGGGCTCAGCCAGGTGCCAGGGCCTGCATAAAGGTGGCATGTGAGCCAGAGGTGGAGAACGTGGGAATGGGCGTGGGAGTGGGAATGTGCACGTGCATGTGGGCAGGCATGAGGGCACTGGTATACACACATGCTTGTCACAACAGTCAGGCCCAATGCAGACTTGGGTCTCCATGTGGGGTCTCAGAGGGCCCAACTCTGGACACCGAGGTGGGGTTGGGGAAGAGGAAGAGGGCCCACCCCATGCTGGGTCTGTGTGGAATGCAGGCGGAGGGGCGGGGGCTGGGGAGCTGGAGCATTTCACCCAGAAACCAGGTCAGAGCCCTGTGAGAGGACAGGCAGGTCAGGACGACAGTGACAGCTGCCCGCCGGCCTGGAGTGGCCTCAGTGCCTCTTGTTCTGCACCTGCATGACAGCCCACACCATGCAATTCAGACTCAGGGCAGCAAATGGTGCGGCAGCCACGCATCGGAGAGCATAGCCCTTTGACCTCTTGGGGGATGCAGGGCATTGGCTCCAGGACCCTGTTTTGAAAAGACTCTGCCTGGGGCCTGGGAAGGTCAAGGAGGAAATGGCTTCCCTGCAAAGGCTCAGGGCCCCTGTGCTGTTGCTGCAGGATAACAGAGGCAGCAGTAATGGCGGCCACCTTGGGGCTGGGAGGGTTCTATTTACTAAACCACGACATCTCATTCCCTCCTTTCAACAAGCGTCGGCAATAAGCACTACCATTACCCCTTTTCAGGCAAGAAAGCCAAGCCCTCTGGGGACACACAGCCGGCAAGAGGCAGAGCTGGAATTAAATGCAGGGCTTAATGACTCAACATACCACTGTGCACAGCGCAGGGTGACAGCGCTGGGCATCTTGTGGAGCAGGGATGGGAGGGGAGCACAGGAGTGTGGCGGGGGAGGTGAAATGACAAGGGACAGCCTTGCTGACCCCAGCAGTCATTCGCCAAGCCCTCTTCCTCCTGACTCCCACGTCGTGCTCCACCCAGCCATGTCTCTTGCCCTTGGCCACCACCTGAATCTGGGCCCCATCACAGGTGGGATTGGGCCCGACATAGAGGACCCTGGCAGCCTGGGTCTCCCATCTGTAAAGAGTCTCCAGTTCAGACACGGGCATCTGTTCAAATGCGACTAATATCCAGTCAGTGTCTGTAACACGGGTTTGGCTTCTTTCTACACTGCAACCTTCACTGTGTCGAGGGGGCTGGCTTCTCCCCGTCTCTGGGAGACACTGGTGGGACCGCCCTCGTGTCCATGAACCACTGCAGTGGTCCCCAGCCTGTCTCCTGGCCTCCTCTCCCCTTCCCTCTCCCCTCTCCACCCAGAGCCCAAGGGCTCTTTCCAAAACATAGATCAAATCACATTGTTCTGCTTAAATCTTTCCAGCGACTGCCCAATCTATAGACTCAAATCCCAGAGCCAAACACAGAGTTCCTGCCTGCGGGCATGACCCAGCCTCCATCCCAGCCCTTCTCCCTCAGCCTGGCCCATTCTGCCTCCCTGTCCTCCCCAGTCCCCCTTTCCCTGGCTCAATCCTCTTCATCCTCAGGAATCTACTCTGAAGCATCATCCCCAGCTGAGGTTAGAGCCCCTGCACCACTCCTGTAAGTGAAATGAAAAACAAAAAAAAAAGCAATATGTGACAATCTGATTCCCGTCCACCTCTCCCAAAGACCACGCAATGCCTGAGAGCAGGGCACATCTGCAGGGGTCCTGCTAAATCCCAGAACCTGGCATCGAAAAGATGCTGGGCTTCACCCACCCTGATGCAGATGTGGTCATAAAGGCCCAGCGTGGCTTATGACTCACTCAAGGCCATACAGCAGTGCAGAGCAGAACAGGGCTTGGCCCCTGGCCCCTGCTGTGCCACCCCTGCCGTGGTGCCATCCATATGGACCTGCTAACTCAGTAAGGAATGCAGGCATGACAGGAAGCCCTCCCTGCCCAGCATACCCCTCTGTGGCCCGGTATCACTGGGCTCCAGTTCCTCAGTCTCCAGCCACCCCCACCCTGACACCTGCACCACCAGCCGCCTCTGGGTTTTCTCATCTGTTGAATGCAGCTCCTTCTCTTCATTGTCATGGTCAGAGGAGGCTCGCTGCTTATCTCTATGCCTTTTTGTCTGAGAGGCTGGGAGCAGAGAGGAGAAAGCTCAGGCCGGAGGAAGGGCCCCAAATCAATCTGTCTCTGAGTGGTTTTAGTAAGAGCTGGGAGGGCCCAGCTTCATGGAGTGATGAATGATCACTGGATCCCTGGATCTCCTAGCCCTGGTCCCAGAGCTAGGAGACAGGGAACTCAGGGGAGAAGGAAGAGCCAGGAGCATCAGAACAAAGACTCCACGGAGAGAAAGGATGGGTGGGAAGTTGGGATTGAGCTACCCTCTGCTATCAACCATGACCCTGGATAATATTACTGTGCTGGGCTATAGCCCTGGGGCTGGACAGAGCTGGATTCCAAATCTGCGTCTCCCTCCTTGCTGGACACTTTGCATATACCATCTGCTATGGTCTGAAGGTTTGTGTCCCTCCAAAATTTACAGTCAAAACCCAACTCTCAAGGCGATGGTATTAGAAGGTGGGTCCTTTGGGAGGCGATGGGTCATAGGAGTGGAACCCTCATGGATGGGATGAGTGTCCTCATACAGGAGCCCTGAGGGAGGCTCCTAGCCCTTTGCCCTTTCACCATGTGAGGCTATAGCAACAGGGAGCCATCTGTGAAGCAGGAGCCCTCACCAGACACCGAGGCTTCCAGCACCCTGATCTTGGACTTCCCAGCCTCCAGAACTGTAAGCAATAAATTTCTGTTGTTTACAAATCACCCAGTCTAAGGTATTTGTTATAGCAGTCCAAATGGACTAAGGCACCGTGTCTTAATCCACACTGTAGCCATCCAAGGAAGAGATGTCTGTCTGTTTTATACAGGAAGGTCCAGAGAGGTTAGGCAACTTGCCCAAACCACACAGCCAATAAAAGTGAAAATTGCAAACATGTATTCACTGACTTGACAAATAATTTCTGAGTGCCTACTTGTGCCCGACACAGCTAAACACTTTAGAAGGATGACTTCATCGAAGCAATCACTTCTCAAAGCATTCAGCCTCTTTCCCTCTCTGCCTTCCCAATAAAGATTCCCCGTCCCCAAGGCATCTGCGGCCACTCAGACACGTTAGTCTAGGAA